GAAGGGAGAGTGGAGAGGGAGAGGGGGGAGGGGAGAGGGAGAGGGGATGAAGGAGAAAGAGAGAGAGAGAGGTGCGGTGGTGGGGAGGGAGGGAAGGAGGGGAGGGGAGAGGTGGATTCAGAGGAAGGAGGAAGGGGGTAGGTGGATGGATGGAGGTAAGGAGGGAGGGGGAAGGTGGAAGGTAGGGAGGGGAGGTGGAAGGTGAAGGTGGAAGGTGGAAGGTGGAAGGTGGGAGGTGGAGGGGAGGTGGGGGAGGTTGGAAGGTGGGAGGGGGAGGGTGGAAGGTGGAGGAGGGGGGGAGGTGGAAGGTGGGAGGGGAGGTGGAAGGTGGGGGGGGAGGTGGAAGGTGAGGGGGGGAAGGTGGACAGGGGGGGTGGAAGGGAGGGGGGAGGTGGACAGGGAGGTGACAGGGAGGGGGAGGTGGACAGGTGGAGGAGGGGGGAGGCGGACAGGGAGGGGGGAGGTGGACAGGGAGGTGGAAAAAGGAAAGGACGGAGGTGGATGGAGAGGAAGAGAGGCACAGGAAGGGAAGAGGGAGAAGTTGTGAGGAGGAGAGAAATGCGGGAGGATAAATTAGCTACATACCCTGCTAACGCTTGTTCCTAATCTCTGGATCAGTCCCGGCTGTGAGATGGTATCATTAGTTTCTAACACGTCCTGCATCATCCTGAAACAAGAATACAGGATTAAGTTCAGTAACATGAGGTCAAGTGACAACAAAAGTTTGCAAATGTGTTAATACCTACGTAAGATTAGGACTGTCCTTATCTTATCTGTGGCATAAGGAGTATCTCAGAAGACTTTTATCAGGAGATACCAATGCCGAACATTACATGAATAGTGTCAAGCGTCTTCACCAATTGCCACTTGCTTTGGACGCAATTTTCTGCAAAAGCCACTCACTCTGAGGAGAACCAATAATTCCAACACACACACACACTTCATGCAGTTGCTGATGATAAAAATATTGTAACTATGTCAATGCTTGAACTGCTACAAAATCATGAAAACTTAAGAGTTTTTTCTCTTAATACAGTAAATGAAAAGAAACCAACACGGAGGAGAAGTGCATTAACCTTCCAAAAATTTCAGAAAGAACACCTTGAAAATAAAAAAAGACCAAGTCAATTAACAGAAAACTTGTTCAAATGCAATCAAGGCAAGGACTCGATTACATGTATATCAAGATAATGATGATGACCATAATAATGATGATAATTTTGAGGACAATAATAATCTAAATAATAATTTAAATAATAATAATAATAATAATAATAATAATAATAAAAAACATTGTGTACTATAAACCATTCTTAATTACCTTGTGTTTCATAAGCCAAGTTTTACACAGAAATTGCAATTTTTACGCTGGGAAGACAAACAGCTATTGAGTAACGGAACATCAGTTGATTTTTTTTTTTTTTTTTTTTTTTTTTTTTTTTACACAAGCGAAATTCAAGAAAGCTTGCAAAATGAAGCATAATACATAATAATAATGAGCCATGAGGGTCCATGAAAAGGGGACAGGGATAGGATGGTGGGTGGGGTCGTCTCTGATTGTTTGGATGGGTATATAGGGGGGACTCAGTGGGAAAAGCCAGGCAGATGTAGATATCGGATACGATGGGATAAGATACACATACATAGAGATATAGGGGCGGACAGGTCTCTGTGGCCTTGAACCTGGAAGAATGATGCCAAATGACACTAGATATATTACGTTACATTCCCTAATTCCCAATGATGCATAAAAACAGAAGAAAAAAAATTCTTTATAAAAAGATTACTCTATTGACATAACTTAAATTTAAAATGTCGTTATCAATAAACTTGATCAATTTCTCTGTGGCATTACAAAAAATTAGTGTAAAAAAATTGTGAAATGTAAGTAAATCAGCTATCCCTAACTCATGATATAAGGGCATAGTGCCTACTCTCCTACTATGATACCTTTTTCCCCTCTCCCACAGTTTGCTTGTCTGGCTTCGATAAAGCATGACTCCATCTGGTTCAGTGAAGAGCTTGTGAAAAATAAAGGATTTTAGTTTGTAGGGCAATATTTTTTTTTTTTTTTTTTTTTTTTTTTTTTTATCTTTCTTTCTCTAAGTTTCACAGGATGTGACAAACTCTTTAGGTAAAGAGAAACTCCTTTTTTACTTATGAATTACAATAGAAAATGTATGAAAAATCTTTGTTCTGCAAGGAGAAAGTAAATATGACAATATATTTTTTCTTTAAAAATGACAATAAAATTGATTTAAGAAATAACATCAACAATCTTACATATGCTATCCATCATCTTTTCTATAATTTGGTGACTTCACTGTAGCTGTATTCTGAGGCATTTATAACTACCTGAGACTTTTCATATCAATATCATACTAGTAAAAAAACAATTCAAGAGAAAACAGGTTATTTTCTATCTTCAAAATCTTCCTTACAATGATACTTCTTTATAAATTAACAATTGTAGTGTTTATATCACTGTTAGGAATCCTGA